GATGGGCTTTCGATGGCGAGCAATATTGTAGGAGATTATGATCTCTGTTTTTGTTTTTTGTTTTGAGAGGAATGAATTTCCGAAAGCGATACAACCTATTTTGAGAGGAATGAGTTAAAAATCCCCACCGCTGGTTCCACAGTTTACTACTTCCCGCAAGGCCATGCGGAGCAGGCTTCTTCTTCTCTAGATTTTAGTTCTCTGGCCTACATTAGGCATGTGGTTCTATGAAGAATTGTGTTGGTTATGTTCCTAGTGAATCGTGATACTGATGAGGTTTTTGCAAAAATACGTCTTGAACCGCTAGATCAATTGTTTTTCGGAATGGTTCATATGCCGTTGGTTGTAACGGGATTGTCGCAGGACAGTGACATTGAGGATTCTGAGGAAAGGATTTCGTCATTCTTGAATATCCTGACACCAAGCGATGCAAACAATGGATATGGGTTTTCAGTTCCTAGGTTTTGTGAAGATTTAGTATTTCCCCCACTAAACTACAAGGCTGAGCCGCCAGTATAGGCAATTATAGTGAGAGATGTTCATGGTGTGATGTGGGATTTTTGGCACATTTACCGTAGGATGCCATGTCAGCATTTGTTGATGACTGGGTAGAGTAAGTTCGTTAATCATAAGAAGCTTGTTCCTGGAGATTCAGTGGTTTTTATGAAGAACCAAACTAGAGAGCTTTCTATTGGGGTAAGGCGCACTGCGAGGTCAAGCAACAAGGGCAGGGTTTGGAAGTGGAGAGGGGTTATCATAAGAAGCTTGTTCAGTGGAATTATCATGTTGGGTCTGTGGCTTCTCCCATTATGAAAATGGAAGAGGGGTTTGGAAGTGGAGAGGGGTTCTTGAGGAGTAGCAGGGGCAGGGTTCCAGTTGAATCTATAGTAGAAGTTGCTAAGTTAGCAAGAATAAATAAGCCTTTTGAGGTTGTTTATTATCTAAGAGCAAGTTCACCGGATTTTGTGGTCAAGGCGGAAGTGGAAGAGGAATTCGTCAATATAGTGGTCATTTTTGTCATTTCGAAAATGATTCAAATTCGGTTGTTGAATAATGAAATGGGTATTTATGTCTTTTTATGCGCTGACTGATGGTGAATTAACACCAGATACCAGATTGTTGCAAATTGAAAGTTCGGGTATTGAATTGTCGCATTTTAAAGCTTGGGGACCAAATTGTCACTCGAGCCAAAGTACAGGGTACTGATCGGGAATTTCCCTTATTAATAATATGAAAGTTGTTAAAACTATTATAATTATTTTTTGTATTTTAATAAATATTTTAAAAGTTGTAATATAATTTCGTTAGAATATTTAAATAAATCTTAATTTTTTTTAATTCGAACTTTCTTTAGACATATATAGATAAAAAGTGGGGGAGAAGATAAATAGAAGGCTCTCTAACCATTAAGGGCAACTTTTTTTCCTTAATATAAAAAAATAATATATTTTATATAATAACCGAAATGAGGTATCTTTTCCTAAAAAATATCAAATAAGGGCATTCATCTTCCTCCTTTGTATTTGGCTGGCAAATGCCCTTCGGTTAAGCCTAATCATCTTAACTCCATTATTTTTGAGAAGTGAGCAAGTGAATTTTGTTCCTATGGATTTGAGATCGAGGAGGCAGAGCTGGTTGAGGTGAGCAAGTGAATCCTGATGTCAGTGCAAGGACGCCAAGCCATGAGGCGGAGCAGGCATCACCAGAGGAGGATTTGTCGGTCTGGGAGCGGAACTCTCTGGTAAATCGATGCATCGCCTCTCTTCACTCAAGTCTCCAAAAGGTAGATGTTGCACCGAAGATTTGCGACAAGTTCACCGGAATCAATTCCTTGCATCCTCAAAAGCTCCGCCTCATGGTCGAGTTGTACGCGAACCCGCGGATCAAGTCCTGGTTGTCGCGGCCAAAGGGCAAACTCGATGGAGCAAGGCCATTTTCACCGGCTGACTGAATTTAAAATTCAAGAAGAAACAAGGTGACAGTCACAAAAATTGTTTGTTGAAGAAGCTGGAGGAAGCATTCTCCACTTGAAAGAGAAGTTGTTATTGGCGTCAAGATATCTCATTTCGCCGGCAAGATGAGAATGCCCTTATTTGACCGTGTTCGTCTTAAATTTTCCGTTAAGCCCTTATTTGTTGTTGAAGAATGCCATTAAGATGATTGGGCTTAATCGGATATCTCATTTCTGTTAAAAATAAGGGCATTCGCTGGCCAAATGCAGAGGAGGAAGATGAATGCCCTTATTTGATATTTTTCAAAAAAAGATACCTCATTTCTGTTATTATATAAAATATATTATTTTTATTGATATTAAGGGCAAAAAGTTGCCCTTAACGGCTAGAAGCCCTAAATAGAATTATAGATAATTTAAGAGAAACTCTCTACTAAATTAGAGATAATTTAGGAGATAAATATGAATTAGATAAAATTTAGGACATAATTAGGAATTAGAGATAATTTAGGATAAATTTTATGAGAGGAGATTATTTAGGTTATTAGAAATGTGTGGGAGGAGAGAGAGAGAGATTTTAGGTAGTCTTGTAGATAGATAGATAGATAGATGCCTCACAACCTTCAATTCTTAGTTCTGTACATTGGTGGCATGGGGCATTATTATTGATTAAAAATTAAAAGCCCTTAACATAGCCTTCAAGTGCAGCAACTATGTGGCATTTGGCAAGTCTTACAATGTGGAAAAGGCTTTGGCATGTTCGAAAGATTGAAAATCAGTCTTTTTTGTTTAGCAACCAAAAGCTGGAAAGATGAGAAGACGTGTGTGTGGAAAGACCCAAAAAGCCATAAAGGCCAAATTTAATAAACTTTCTAGTCTTTTTGCATGATAGATAGCCTCTAAACGCATTCTTAAAAGCCCGATAGAATGAACCACTTACCAAATGATATTTGTCTTGAAAGACAAGACCCCAAAAGCTCAATATGTCTTTTGGACATCTGGGATGCTGGAAGATCTTTCCAAAAAGACTTGCCAAATGACACATTGGATTCATAACAAACAAGCCCCTCATTAGCCTAAATTTCAGGATGCGTCGGACAAATTCTGGTTGGCCCAAGTACTGATCTTCAAAAATTTGATTGCACTTAGCTCTACCAAGTGTTACTATATATTCCTTAATTACATGAATTATAACTTACAAATACTCTTAGGGTTTAAAAAAAAAGGTAAATTGTTGAAACCTCCCCCAAGTTTCTAGTCGTTGCCAATCAACAAAGGTCTCAATTGGACCAAATCTAGTCCAATCCAGTCCAGTCCAATGTGAGTTCATTACAAATGGACCAGGTCCAATCCAATCTAATGAACATTTTGGATCGGTCCAATTCAATGTTTGGACCGTCCAATCTATTCAAATTTGTTTTAATCTAGATTAGTTTTAACCCAAATGTTTGGACCGTCCATTGACACCTATATTAATTCTTATCTTCTATTAATGGACATGATATTATGGATGGACCAAGTCCAATCCAATCCAATAAATACTTTGGACCATTAAGTCTAGACTTGTACAATTCAATATGTCTTGTTGGTCCATCTAATCCGTCCAAATTGATTTTGGTTTGGATAGGGTCCAATCCAAAACCAGTCCATTGACACCCCTAGTTGTTGAAACCTCTTTTGAAGTTTGGTAGTTGCAATCACCTCCCTTGAACTTTCTGATCACATAATTGCAAGTAGACCCCCTCTGTTAGAATCCTCTAAAAAGAGACATGGAAATGTCCAAAATACTCATGTTGTTATTTTAACTAAAATGTTTATTTTCCAAGTTTTGTCTACATATGAATGTTTACCCCAAACCTTTCCATCTCTTTTTCGAAATTGATTTATTTTCCATTTTTTTCCTTCATATCATTCAGTAAAGTTCCAACTTTAAATTCTCTTTTTTCTTTCTTGTTTTCATAAAGTGCATTGTTGTAACTACAAGGGTATATTGGACAATTTTATGCCTCTTTTTAGAGGATTCTAACAGAGGGGGTTTACTTGCAATTGTATCAAAAAAGTTAGGGGAGGTGATTGTAATTACCAAACTTTAAGGGATGCTTTAGCAATAATCCAAAACTTGAAGGAAGATTTCAGCAATTTTCCCCAAAAAATCAATTTGGGCATGTTAAGCTAGTTCTAATCAAGGTCTATGAATGGCAACAGGGTGGGTTTGGGGGATCATGTTCCCCGTCCCCAACCCTGATTTTGAAATAAAGCCCAACTCCTGACCCCAATTCCCATCAGAGATAAAAGTTATCCTCCATCCCTGATCCCTAATGGAGATGGACTCCCCGAAGGGACCCGAGTCCCTAAAATTTCTAAATTAACAGTATTATTTTGAAAAATAAATTAAATTAAAATAAAGAAAATTTTCAAAAATATAAATAATATTTTAATATATATAATATAAATAATATAAATAAAATCATATATGAAACAATATATTTAATATAAATAGCATTTAATATATATAATCAAGATCGGGGTGGAGCAGGAATTTCATTCTCCAGCTTTGATGGCTCAACCCACCCCCCCTTAATATATATAATCAGGATCGGGGAGGGGCAAGAACTTCATTCTCCATCCTAACGGCTCGATCTCAACTCCAGTCGAGGATCTCTATTAATCCCCATCCCTATCCCTGCCCAGCCAAAACAATTCCCGTGGTCGGGGAGGGCGAGAATTGCCATCCCTTAGGTCTATCAAACCTAAGGAGAAACCGTGTTTTTTTGCCTTAGGGTTGCCACAACCCAAGCGTACGTCACATCAAGCTTCACCCACCTTAAAGCAAGCTGTAGTGTAAACCTGGTCTTGACTCGGCACTTTGGCATCTACCCATGAAGACAAGCATTACAAACCAACAATATCGAAATTTCTTTTAGCCATATCATCGTCTTCCGTTGTGGGAAAACTGTAAAACAACTAAGTTATATATATATATATATATAGAATACACACTAAGAGAGGACACGAGACACTGAGTACTTGAGAATTCCCAGCAGCCCTGTTAAGGAAGGCCTTCATCGCTGGGAACCTTGTTGTATCCCTTTCCTTGTTGCACTTGAACCTCTTCAGCAGGGATTTCGTTACATTGGTAATAAAACACAGTAAACACCGTTAAGCTGAAGATCTTGACCATGCAAATTATACTAATCACCAGAACTGCAATTCTTAATCGTGTAGCTTCTGTGAAATTCACGTTGCTCATTTCGAATCCAAGAAATCCCGAGATGGGGACGAGAACTAGACCACAAAGAACGATGAGAAGACTCCCTTGAAGCCTTCTTCCCTTGATAAGCCCTTCAGCTTTCCCAATTGCCTCCATCCCATAACAACCATCTTCCAGAACCGAGACTACGAGGCTCACAATCGAAACCAGGGACAGATAGAGTGCAATACAAAGAAACAGAAGAGCTACCATGAAAGCAATAGCAGTCAACGCAATCGAACCACTGGAACCAGTAGCAACCATGAAGAAGAAACCTAGGGAAGCCCAGACAAGAAGAGTACAACCCAGATTAAAGAGAGAAATATAGAACCAAGTGATTGCTGGACTCGTCCATGTTGCTCTGATCCTTGAAATCAACTCCTTAAGAGTCAAGTCTCCGCCGCTGTAGTTCACGGCTGAGGCATAAATAGTTGCAATCATGACGAAAAGACAGACCAGCCAAACAGCAGCTATGAAGATCCCTTCTGTGACCATGAGAATTCCAACATCACTTCTGATTTCGCCCATTAGCTCGATGTATTCAGCACTTCCTGGTGTACTTTGTTGCAAGTCTATAATTTTTAGAACCAGATCAAGAACCAATGTTTTGGTAGAAAAATGGTTGCCCAGGAAGAGAAGAAAGGAAGGGAAGATGGTGAAGACAAAGATGGAAGCCATGAGCTTCCCACCATTGAAGAGGATTTTCAGTGCATCTATTAGAATTCCCGCAACACCCAACTGGCCGGAAGATTTCATCGTGTTCTGTGTGGACATTCCCTCAGCTTCTGATGGTATACTCTCTTTGCAATGCTTTTGTGCTCCAAAAAGAAGGCAATGTATACACGTATAAGCTTAGACCCAATTGACTTGACTCGGTCTTATTGGTTAATTTCTTTGCTTGAAGTAGGGGTAAAGATAGGGCAGAAGCTAACCCATGAATTCTTCAGATTACGTTCATCTGATATGATTGATTTTGAATCTGGGCTCTAGATTCCAGATATGTCATAAAATGGCAAGATGTGCTTGATGAAGAAGTTGACAATGAGGACGATAGAATGAAATGTTCGTTTTATTTGTTATTGCGCGAAGAAATTTCTAGGAAGGATATATTTAGACTTTAGGATAATAAAGAAATGACACCACCCAAAAGACAAAAAATGAAGTTTGACATAAGACTCGGTCAGTCTAATCGTGATTTTCAGAAAATCTACTTAGTTAATGTCCATACGCTACTAATTAATTTGTATAGGAATAAGTTAAATCTGTGACCAATGCAATGGTTGAATGCTTCCCATATGATGACCCTTTCTTCTCCGTTTAAATCAGGGTTTTCTCTTGAGGCACCCAGGATAGAGGGAGCTGTGGGAACAACTTCAAAGTACGAAGTACACTCGTAATGTTAATGGCGGAAAAGCTTGCCTTTATGAAGCTATCGCATTAATTAAAAATAAAATCAAGATTTTCATCAGTTTCTAATGATGATATCAAAATGAAATATGATAAAACTTTGGGTACTGAAATTTTGAAATACTTGTCAAAATTTCACCTAAAATTGTCCGAACATAGCCAAAACTTCTGACTACTCTGAGGTTTACAACCATGGACGAAGCTACTTTCTCATTCATACAAGGTGAGTAGATGCCCCAACCTCCCATGGAAATAATAAAGGTGGGGTAGCCAATTCAAAACTAGCAAGTGTAAAAGCCGATGGGTATGGAATGATACGAATGGGCCTGACCAAGTCTGTCTAGTTTTCAATCCTCATCTCCTATTATAATTAATTAACGTGGACCTGGATTTGTTAAGAAAAGCTAAACAATAAAATACATAAGAGTATATAATTATTTTATATTTCTAAGTTTTTAAATAATGATTAATTATTTATATTTTATAATACTTTTAATAATTTTTTACAATACAAAAATAACAATAATTTATTTCAGTTAAGTTTGTTCATCGAACTGATGAAACCAATCAACCTGACCAACTTGACCCGAATTGCTTAGTTTCTAATCTTTACGGTTGAAATTGGGATCAATTTTGCTGTGGTCATTTGTAAATTGACCAAAATCGGATGACCCAATCACAAACATATACTAATATTTTTATATTTTCAATATATTTTTTTTAATACGGGAAAGTGGGGAAATTCCCATATTTCTTAGTCCCAAATATTTTATATTATAAATTTATTTTTTAATAATGTTAATGTAATTTTTAAAATATAAAATTTAGTTTTCAATGTAATCTTTTAAACCAATTGAGCAAACCAAAAATCAACCCAAACCAATACAACCCGATTTATTTGGTTTTCAATAATGGTCAGTAGAATCTTAACCTGTATATCCTGAATACCTTGTCGAGTTACTGCATTGCTTGGATCAATGCCCATTATGTGATTATGAAGGACACAACATGCAATTAGAATCTTAACCTGTGTAAGGAAATCAAAGTGTTGGGTGGAGTCTAGAATGGCCCAGTGCTTCTTTAGTACACCAAATGCGCACTCCACTGCAGTACTCAATGCAGAATGCCTATGGTTGAAGATTTCTTTTGCAGAATCAGGTAACTATCCTTGGATCTCATTGAGGTGGTACCGTGTGTTTAGATAAGGAGCTAAGAATCACGGCATATTTCTATAACCCACATCTACAAGATATTACTTTCCTATATTCACATGGAAGTAAATAATAAAAAAAAACAATTCACACCAATGATCCTGTTGATATAGAGGTAGGAAGAAGATAGAAAAAATTTTGTAGATTACCTTCAGGTATACTAAGGCTATATTCCCTCTATAAGGAATCATACAGGACTGTTGCATCAGTAGCTAACCCTTCCCAACTAGCCAATACATAGGTAAATTTCAAGTCAAATGTGATTGTGGCCATCACATTTTGGGTGGTTACCCCTTTCCTACCACAAAATCTAGCATGCTCTTCAACAGACACCTTGCAAGGAATTTGAGTTCCATCAATAATAGCACCTATGTAGTCCTACATTTCAACTAGATCCATGTCATATGGGTAACGGATTAGATTTATATGTTTAATTGTTAGCAATACATATTATTAGGCATACCTTGAAGTATGGCATGAATCAGGCATCATATTTGATTTCTGGCAGTACATGATCTCATGTAGGTTGTGCAACCAACAGGGGATACAACTTCAACACAACGCGAAGGACTTTATGAAAGTATCGGCTAAAGGTTTCCTGGGATCAGCCAAACCTAACATGGATTGCACTATTCCGGACATTGTGACCAATGGTGTGAAAGAACATTGCAACTTGCTCCTCAACATTCAAATGAAGGGTTGGTGTGAGTTGACCATGTAGTCTAAGTAAATCACACAGTGAATCAAAGCATCTTCTCTTCATCCTAATTTGCGAAAGGCATGACTCCTCACTATTAAATATGCTCTTCATGAATTTCCCTTTCCCTATGCTCCTAACTTCCCTTGCTCTCGGACGCTCACAAAGTGTGTAGTAGCCTACCATAATTGGGGTAATGATGACACCCAGGATTGCAAAGAAGGCCCCTACAACTCGCCTACGTCTTTCAATGTATCAAGGTGCCCTCATGTCTGGTAGTCGAAGACAAACACACAGTCAAATAAACACTTTATCATAGTGAGCATAGGCTATATAAATATTTTATCTATGGATGCAAATTTGTTAAAATAACTGAATTGAACTCAAGAAAGAAAGGGGTATATCAAGCAAAAAGACATATTGCTTGAGGTTCTAGGTTAAAGTCTAACTACCATTGAATTTCAGGTCTATCAATGCTATGACAAAAGGTTTTTGGTTTCTGGTAATCTAATCCTACAATATCAGATCTGAAATCTAATCCTACAATTTTAGATTTGGTAATCTAATCCTACAATTTCAGGTCTGAATTTCAGATTTGAATTTCAGTTCTGAATTCTAATACTTCATAAAATCTAACCCTAATCTGCTCCCCACCAGCCTCCTTTCACATGATACAACCATACATTGTTGAGAAGTGAGAACCCTAATCTCCTGATGAGATAAAAACCATTGCATGCATTTGAATCTTAGCACATGCATCCCCTTATGCTAAATGATAACCATAGACGTAGGAATGTATGTGATATTGTGATAGAAACCAAAACTATTGGCCTCTGGGGCTGTGCCTCTAATGGATCTTGGATGGTTTCTCATGGGAATTTAACAACCTGTTGATTCTTCTTATATGTAGTACATGATATTCAGTATGTATGCATGATGAATTTGTATATCATTAGGAGGACAGTCTTGGAATAGGCCTTCATACAATGAACTGGAAAACTAGGGTTAGGAGCTCTATTCTTCAACTATTTACTAAATTTGATCAAGACTAAATCCTAATGAGAACATAAAAGCTCTCACTCAAAAGGCCTGACCACCCAAAAATAAACACAATCAGAAGCAAAATAAACCTGGAAGATCTAATTAAACCAAAGAGTTGGAAGTTGGAGTTGATCCGCAAGAAATTTTATTGAAGACAGGGTGAATGTGTAGAATGTACAAAAGGAATAAGGATCTCAAGCGAGGAAAACAGCAATACTGCCACCACAAATATAAGTTTTAAGAAGGAAAAAGTTTCCTTCTACAAGGAATCTCACCCCCCTCCACCTTGATAGTATCATCACCTTGCTTGTTTTCTTCTCACTTGTAGTTTGCAGATGATACTATCGTTATCTATAAATTGATCCTAAATAGTTGGGATAAGGTTTCGTTCCATTTACTGCCTTTTTTCATTAGCCACTAATGAACATCCATTCCTGTTTAAGATAAACCTATATCCGAATTTGATGGGAGAGGTGGTGAACTAAAAGTGCTTGCAGGGGCACTGGGCTATGAGTTGAGATGATTCTTAGTGCTATTGATCCTATTATGAAGAATGGTTTTTGGAGGTTTCTGCATTTATAGACAATTACTAAGCTCAAGGATATTTTAAAGATTGGATACCCCTAGAAGAAAATTTCTCCTTCAGATCTAGTTCATGGCATAAAACAAAATAGATTTACTACCACTGAAAGCATAGAGATATCTTCATTCCTGGAAAGGGCTTTTGTTCACCTTGAAGCATGGTTCCAGTGGTTCAATACTACACAATCAGGTAAGACATTCAATTTCTAATAATGAACATTGCAGTTTTACTTGGTAGTTCTATCCTTCAAAACATCTAGAAGGATATTGATTAGTTAAAACTGGCATATTTATCTTGCTTTAGAAGTAGGGAGCCACAATAGACTTGTTTGACATTTCTCATGAGAACAAGTTTCTAAATGTGTTACAGAGGTTTTTGATTGTGTTAAGAATGAAATATTTATACTTAAGACATCTTAGTAGGTTATTGTATTAACTTTTTTTCTCTACTAAAATTCCAAAAATCTGTTGGTTACAACTACACTATACTGTATGGTGTATATTTACAGTTCAATATTTCATTTTCTAGGAAAGGATATTAGTAGTTATTATTGGCATGGAAGAGACAAGGCAACGACTCGTGAACTAAACCCAAAGGTTCAAATTACAACTTTGTGACCACCTGCAGTTATTGATGTTGATTTTTCTAATTTGCTTTTACAAGAATGAAATTGTTACTTCTTAATTTCTCTTTCATGTAGTCTTAATGAATTTTAGAAATTGAAAATTCAGCAAGTTCAGATCAAGTTGGCTAGACTCAACTAAGTATTCACATGTATAAAATCGATGTATTTTATACATCGATAATCGAAGTAAAAAAAAATCGAAACTCACTT